GAAGTAGGATCCGCTTCATAAGTCTGTAAGCGTGAAGTTATCGCAAAATAGTTAGAAAAAATTATAAGAGAAACTTGATGGAATGAAAACGTTTTATACATTTGTTGATTAGCAACAGCTCAGAAAGCATTTCTAAAGTTAGAGGGTTTTCGAAGACCTTCTTTACCTCAATTTATTGCCCCTATTGTTTAGTGAAAAAGGTCGCCTTGAGTCCGCATACTTTGAATTTTGTCATTTGATACTCCAACATTTCAAAAAACCCTGGCCGAAATTACTCGTGTTAATTAAAGTACTCCAATTAAATGCGATGACGATAGAGGGCATACTCCTTTCTAACTTCTAAAGGCTACAGGTGAAAGTACACACTCAAAAATAGATTTCAAATCAGAAGCGAAAATATATATTTCTATATATACACTGACACACACACACACATAGATATATGTATATATACATATGTACCCGTTTTCAAAAACGTTGCAATTTGAAAAAAATATGTAGTTCATACACCGTTTGTTTTCTTATCAAAGAGCGCCTCTTTTTTGACGAGGAAAAAAATAAATATATTTATATAAATCTCCTGTGTACTTTCAAATTACAAAGTTTTTGAAAACTGGTTTATATATAGAAAGTCATAATGCTTTTTGTGCTACTGTTAGCTATCGCACCAAGTTAAAGCCAACAATTAAGACGTGTTCACTGGACATGGAGGAACTCTTTTTTATACGTACCGAACAATCAAATTTATCCTGAGAGAAAGGAAATATTGTTTATTCTATTGATATTGAAAGATTCTTCAACCTTTTTTAACAAACGAAAAAATTGGGTGAAAAGCACAACTTTGAATTAATTTGTAACTGTTTTCATGGTGGCGAATTCATCAACTGGCATTTCCGAAACACCTGCCCTGCCTGTTAGGCGAAAGCAATAAGAATTTACATCGCAGACTGCCATAACAAAATGGAAACCACAACAACCAAACTATGGCTAGTTTCCAAATGATGTAGATTGTTGGAGTAAAAAGAATTGCTTACCACAGAAATTTCTAAGATGTATTGACTTTTCTGTTTTAAGAAATTTTGTCTGTGCCTACATACATTCAAACGCATTTTTAGCTTGCTGACCGGAGCATTTCAATAACAAAGCACTGTTTGAATGCCAAATGCGATGAAGGACTGTTCTATTTCCAATATTGTATTATTAATTTCGAAAACCTATTTTCACACTCTCAATACCATCTTCAATTTGATGTATCAAAAAGGATGATAGTGTTTGAAAAGGATTAACCTAAATGTTGTGTTACCTGACAAAAAACGATTGGATTAACTCTCCGTAAGAACATTCAATTTTTTTCTTATACTAACTGAATTGTGGCCGCTAGACGGATAACCTGTAAAGAAGAGCAAATGGCTCGGACTTGGGCGAACTAAAAGTAATAAATGTCCTCAGTGTCATGGTCACTTGTTATTCTTTGTTTTTAGATGAAAATTAAGATATTCTTTCTTTGAAGGGCATTCTCTTCATCGAATGATAGAAAGAGTCTCAAGATATTACCTTCTGTAATTTCTACAAGGCATAAGAGATTTATCTGTTTCATTTTGCTTCAATGCTTTATTATCTGAAAGATAAAATCAAGTTTTGGAAAGTTGTCAAATTTTCTACCTGTAATCAGTTTGCGGTTAATAACAGGCTAAGGTATTACTTGAGCCGACAATTACAAAATGCATCCTTCAGCTGATTACAACTTTGTTACCCTCGCTAGGAAAAAATTCAGCCATGAGATAATGCGAAATAAAATGGGAGCTTAGGAGTTGTTGAGACGTTTGAAGGGAAAATTATGATGTTCTATTGCCGCCTCACGTTTCAGATAACATTGAGGCTCGGGCGTGGCTCTTCCGTGAGTATCTGTTCTTCAGACATCATCTTTTCTTTCTTTCTTCTCTTAACGGAAATCTTTCGCTCGACTTGGCAGTCCAATGTTTAAGATATCATCATTTGCCGGAAAAAAAAAAACTGAGTTATCAAAAATTCTGTTTGGGTTCTCATTTAATTCAGCCCGTGCCAAAAGCACATCTCCAACTGCCCCATTCACCAAAAAAAGTTCACATTGGAAGCTCTAATCTAAAATTGAATTTCGACAATCCCTGTCTGGCAGCTTTAAATTTTGATCCTTAAATTGAAATTGAAAGTAAATTGTTTATTTCAAAGTTTTGATGGCAGGAGTAAGTTTCCAGGAGGACCAAAATATTTTGTCGTAAAGAAACAAACACTAGGGGTAAAAATATCTAGAATAACAATACACGAGATCCTTTCGTCACGGGAACATTTGCTCCAAAGTGCAGTCGTCGCTTCGAAAGCGTAAAATAGAACACTAAATTAAGAAAAATGAAAAAATCTTCGTAGCAGCATGAGATCTTATAGACTTCAAAGATGTGGCAAACTTGAGGGAAGAAGCAGTCGCAACAGATCTCTTTCACGGACTGCTTTGGAGTGTTGCTTCCAAAAATTTATTGAGATCACAAGCTAAAGTTCTAATCAATTTTTATTGCTACGATTTACTGAGGGGATGAGAACACTCAGTTGCAGGCATAAAAAACTTCCACTTACATTTTACAAGTTAAAGAACAAAATACTGCCGCAAATGTGCCCTGATGTGTGTTGGCATTAATAATTTACCAATTGCGACGGGAGGCTGGCTAAGTATGCGTATTGCATAGAGCAGGGTACTATCTTCTCTTGGAAACTTAACACTTTGTCTGCTAAGCCTGTTCAAATTTGCGAAATCTTGGAAAATCAATATTAAAACGGAAACTGAGTCAAGCAAAGAAAATTATACTAAAAGAGAACGCATCTTTGATGAATTTACAGAGCTCGTGCTACATATAATTAGGATTGCTCCGAATAAAGGCTTGAGCTCTAAACGTCAGCTTTTCAAAGCAGTTCCTCTCACCTTTATCAATTAACGGTTGTTAAAGAACAAACCGTTACACTTGCCCGCCAACACAGCACAAATGTTTGCTTAGTAACCAATAACCCTGTTCCATAGATACATATTCCGATTTTCTGTTTCCTCGTCAATTGCTTCGAAATAAATGACAAGGATACTTGTTGTGACTCAAAGACCATTAGAGAAATAACAAACTTCAGAATCTTTACACAATTTGTAAAAAAATTTAACAGCAACTGACAGGAAATTCCGCCCCGCTGCAATTATTTTATTTATCGTACAAGAGGTGCAGGTGAGATAGTTAAGGAGATCCATTGAAAACAGCCTACACAATCATGATACTGTCTGAACCCAATTTAAGAGTCCTGCTTTTAAATTTAGATGTTATATAATGCAACGCGCGTGTTTCTACACGTGAGTTACGATCATCACGAGCAACAGAGCAAGAAAATAATAAACTCGAATAATCCTTTCAAAATGGCGGCTAACAATAATACCATTATTTTCCAATCTCACGACGTTTTATTAATCTGCTACCAAATCTCGATTTTAAGTATACCCTCGTTATTATACAGACAGTACTACAAACCTCCGAAATTGTAAAAACTTAAGGGCTTGCTTTCAGTAACAATCTGCACTACTTCCTCAGTCTATTTTTTTTATTATTGGAGACACGAATTTAAAGTTTCAGGGGCATCGTCTCAAATCAAGTTTAGCTTAATATCATGGTTCGTATAAGTTTGTCAAGAAAGGATGTTGATAGATTTAGAAATATCTACAATTACAGAGTCGGATTTTAACAAAGCCCCAGTAAATGTCAGTCAAGATTCAAAATACAGCAGCCATTTGCTGCCAGAGAAGAATTCTGACAAGAACGAAGGGTGGGTGGAAGGAGGCAGGCATTTCATCTACAAAAAGTTGCGCTTAATTCAAGAAAGCTGCTAATTTGTCGGTTAATGCCAAGCCGACCAACTATTGATTCGCATGCTTTCCAGTGGAGCTTGTAATGCATTACTCTTCCACGTTCGCAATTACTGAACTTGGCCAAGCTAATTTTTTTTTTGTTAAGTGACAGATGATTCCTATTGCAAACAAAAACACTGTACAGCGAGCGAATTAGTGAGCAGTTTTCAACAAACGAGCATTGTTTCTAATTTGTAACGGATAACAACATGAAGTCCGTATACATAAAAGAATGAAAAAGTCGGCATACAAACTCTTTCGAGGTATTCAAGAAATATCATTACCATATACAAGACAGCATTTAATAATATACCAGTGGAAAGTAAATCGCTGTATCAATTCCTAAATCTGCATCATTCCCATTTTTCGATTAACAGCCGTAAGAGGCGGATAAACATTAAACTCAAAGACAAACATTCCGACTAACGACAACGAGCTTTTAATTGGTAAAATTGTTATGTTTTGTTAATTAGCCCATCCGTGCAATTTGTAAGTTCAGCTCGACAAAGTTTCTTGAAAAACGTCAAAACATCTGCCGCTAAATATAACAAGAGGAGTTTTGGAAAATTTTAAGAATGAGTGGAAAACATGATAACAAAAATATTAAGTTTAATGATGAGAATTACAACCCAAGGTTGAATCTGCTTGACAAAAACATAGAGCATAAATTTCTTCAATAAATCCAGTGATAAAGGATAACGTTAAATTTTCATTATCGCTCTTCATATACTAATGTAAAACAATTCTTGGAAAATAATTATAAAAAGACCGAAAAAAAAATGTGAGCAATTCAATAAAAGTGCTCCTTTACTAATCATAAATAAACATGAGAACAACAGAATGTCGTCGCAACAGGATAACACAGTTAGTGATGTGGTCACCTCAATGTCACTCTTAAATATTACTTTTTTTCTTCATCTTTATATAATATTCTGGATCTGTGGTCTCTCTAAATCCTAATTTAAAGTCATTTAGCAACACGAAGCATACCCCCTTGAAGTTAATTATAGGTACGAAGACTTTGCCGCAGAGGGTAACATGACACAACATCTACATGGGAATTAAGCCTTAAACATTACAGGTATTTCGATTATGACACATTCGTAGGAACACCTTTCCAATACTGGAACCTAAAAGAAAAGAGCCAAAAAAAAATTAATAAAAACAGAGAAAAAAAAACTGAAGCGAAAAGCAGCTAATTCAGTCGGATCATATCCATTGCGGAAACTTTCCTACGCAGGAGTATTCCGTCGTATACTATCAGTAAGATAATTCTAGGACTCGGCTCAAGGAACGTTCTCTTGCCAACTGTACTACTGATATGCTGAATAGAAAAAGTACTTTCTTTCATTTAATTCAATACATTGTTATAAATTTCAACGATGATTTCCAAAAGTAGGTGAAAAAAGGGAAAATCATGTCCATTCTTGATGAGTTGTACGCGGGCATGAATTTTATTTTTAGCACAAAAGAGGATGAAACGAATCTTTGCCAATCTCTTTCTTAGTAAACATATCACAGCTTGCATGTTTGTTCGTCAGTTCATCAGTATGTTTTCCAAGGGTGGATTGGAGGTAAAGTTTGTGTAGGGGTGGGGTGGGTAGGGTGGGGGCGGGTGGCACGTTGAATAAAAAGTGAAAAAGGTAAACTACCTCCCACTTTAAAATAGTAGTGAAGCGAAGGCGGCTCTTCTGCGGGTGATCAGGTCCCTTTTAATGCGTCTTAAAATCATGTATTTGGCTTTGAAAACCTAATCACCATCTATGGGTAGACTAGAATGTTACATGGCCGCTAAGACACACGAATTTTTCCTGGTGTTGTTAACAGCATCTCTCACTCGAGGAAAGAAGACGTATACACCGAACCCCGCCCCCCCTATAATGTTAGCGACCTTGGTCTCTAGATCCGAGGGTGAGTGCAAGTTTGAGACCTTCCCATAACCTTAACAGTGAGCGCGCAAGAACCTTAATTTCTTTGGCGGAAAAGTCGCAATGGGCTTATATGACGATGAGATTATATGACGAGTTTTTGCGGAAGCGGGCGAAAACAAGATACCGACATATGGGCAGCTTATTAATTTATCAATTGGGAAACCGCTTACTTACGTCCAGTGACAATGACAAGGAAAGCTTTGCTCATAAAATTTACCACAATTCTTCACAAGGTGAACAACTTCTAAGAATTTCGGTGTGAGTTCAATCGTCCCAGAATCCCGCGGTCTACATCCTTTACATCTATCAAATAAATGTTCAATCTCCTTACTTGTCAAACACAGCTCTGTATCTTTTGACAAACATTCGCCTCAGACTTCCATTAGGTTCCATGAGACGTTTTCCAAATTTACTCCGACCGAAAGAGATCTTGCTGAGATCGAAACGCGGGAAGAATCTGAACAAAAACGCATCGATAAGAATTTCGTTTTCAGTTTCAAGTAAGATGATTCTCTAATCCTTGGAAAGAAATTTCAGTGGCCAATACTTCTCCAGCCGTGTTGTTCTTACTCGAGAGATCTGGCGAGCGAGGTTAGGTAAATTTTTCCAGACATACTTCCAGGCTCTCTGTGAGCATATAAATACTTTTCCAGGTTTGAAATCTGATCTTTATCCAACTCAGTTTTGCTTGTTTTCTTATGGGTATGAAATTCAGTAAGAAAGAGAGTTGCACTTTTCTCTGCAATGTGATAATGATATACTGCACTTATTCAGTAAGAAAGAAAGTGGCACCTTTCTCTGCAATATGATAATGATATACTGTACTTATTCAGTAAAAAAGAAAGTGGTACTTTTCTCTGCAATGTGATACTGATATACTGTACTTAGTCAGTAAGAAAGAATGTGGCACTTTTCTCTGCAGTGAGATACTGATATACTCTACTTTCATGTTGCCGTAATCTCTAAATTGTTATCACTGTATTATTTCAATCGGAGTTTCAGTGGACGATAAGATCTGGTTGTTCCAGTACTGAGAGAAAGTGAGTCACTGACAACTACTACATCGAAGATAACTTAGAGCCTTACTTTTCAACTGTGGTACTGTTCCTTATGCCTAACAAATTTATATCGGAATTAAGTTCATCCACAGAGATGCCATCACCACGGTCATCTGTGGGACCCATACCAAACACGATTGTGTTACAAAGCCTGAAGAGACATGAAACAAAGCTGATAAGACTTACTGCAAAACTTTACTTACGGGAATGCAGCAGGGGCCAAGCTTTGCTGACTTAATAACTGCAACAGTCAAATGTCTCGCGAGACCCTACTCATAAAAATATGAAGTTTATGAAGACGAAGTGGGCAGTTTTAACATAAGATTAAAAATAAGCTTATCAAGAAATGGACCTAATGTGAATAGCGTGTACCAAGGTTTTTTTTAATTTTTATAGTAGGTATTATACTGTTATTTTAGGGTGAGTATCCTGCAAAGTAACACGAGGATAAGTGGACTTTAACTTTCACAAAATAAATCACTTCTTTCGAACTACTTGCTTTTACGACGTCTCTACAATATGCGGAGCAAATTGAAAACATTTCAGATTCTTTTTTGTACTTTTGCACTTTTAAGTACCTCACAGACTGTTCCATGTCCAGCTCTTTTTCAGTACACATGTTAAGGAAAGTCACCACGGCCAACTCGGCCCAATCCTCTCCCGTCTCCACAATAGCAGCTGCCAATCAAAAAACACCGAGTTTACATATAATGTAACTGCTACAAAATGTGAGGCGTGATTTTCCTCCTGAAATATACGTGACCCATGAATTCCGTCTTTCATTTTGTGAAACCTCAACATTCCATTTGCCGTTTTTTAGTCCACTGTAACAGAAGACGTCAATACGTTACATGCACTTACAATCTTTATTGAGATTAAGCGGGCAGGTGACATCACAACTGTTAGGATCTTCGCGAAGAATTTCGTTTATCTGAAGGAGAAAAACAAATTAAGTTTATTAAACACTGTACACCTTAAAGGTAATGCAAATAAACTGTGACATTGATTTCAGGACGTAAAGAAAAGCACTCTGAAGTTTTGGCATGGAACACTCTGGAATAGAAAGACATGATCGAAAACAAAACAATACTTCAGTAACGGGTTTCTCCGGAGAAGAAGTCGAGACGACTACTCTGCACACACTAGATAAACCTAAAGAATTATTCATACGATCCCAGTGATCGGTTTGGATTGGTTAACAGGAAAAAACTTTGTCTACTGTTCATATGGGAAATTTTAGCCCTTTTAGCACACCGAGATTTCTGCTCGGTAAGGAATTTTCAGCAAAGTTACCGAATTAAACAGAGGGCGATGCGACAATGGACCAGCTCTGTTGACCGCGCTCATATAAAGAGGAGGGGGGAGCATGAAGGACAATGGACCAGCTCTGTTGACCGCGCTCATATAAAGAGGAAGGGGGGAGCATGAAGGACAATAGACCAGCTCTGTTGACCGCGCTCATATAAAGAGGAGGGGGGAGCATGAAGGACAATGGATCAGCTCTGTTGACCGCACTCATATAAAGAGGAAGGGGGGGAGCATGAAGGACAATGGACCAGCTCTGTTGACCGCGCTCATATAAAAAGAGGGGGGGGGGATGAAGGACAATGGACCAGCTCTGTTGACCGCGCTCATATGAAGAGGAAGAGGGGGGAGCATGAAGGACAATGGACCAGCTCTGTTGACCGCGCTCATATAAGGAGGAAGTGGGAATACTACCAACACTAAGACTTACGTCTTTACCGATGTTCCAGTTATTACTTGAATCTTCATTTGGGTCTGGTTTTCTCCAGGACTGGTCTAAAGGCGCTATGATTTAAATTTCCAGGACTGGACGCAGCCCGCTAAATTAAAGAATATGCTTGCTATGATTAAAATAAATAAATTTAGCGGACTTGTTTTTTGTATTTCACTGTGCTTGGGGCCATCTAAAGGGGGCATACATCGTACTTGGGGCATACATGTAAATTTGAGAGGAAAAAAAACTCGGTCCGTCCCTTACAGCATGTACCTCAAACTCGGTTAGTAATAGGTTAGGGCTCTCTCGATGTAAGTAGCTAGCTTCTGAGGTGGAACATAAGTTTGAACGATGAAACAATTGAGGTTTCAATGTTTCACTGAACGATGTTCTTGTTTGCTTTTATATGGTTTTTACGAGGGGGCTTAAAACTCTACACATTTTAAAAATAGGATCTGCATTGATTGCCGTGCGTATTCGAGGATACAAAATCTGGCTTAATGATCTCCTCATATTCAAGAAGTTGGCGTATTCTTAAAAGCGGTGTCCCTGTGGGCGAGAAAAAAAGGATTTAACGAAAATCAAAAGATCTAAATAACATAATAGGAATGCACCACGCATTTCTTTTAGTATATATGAAAGTGCAGTCATCCACATCAGTTAGATTACAGCCACCCCACTCAGCTAAGGGGAAACAAAGAATTCAAAGCAAGTTATGTTAACACCATTAAAACTCCAACTGGCAGGTTGCAAACCTAGGAGTTTTTTGTGGGTTGCAATTAATGATAACCAGTGTAGTGGTGAACAAGAGACTGTGAATATATGAATATCATGTATGTTACCTGCGGATTAATAAATGAATATGAAAGCAATATTTGTGGTGATGATTTTCGTATATTCACAGTCTCTTAGTCCTTGCTTCATGGGTGTATTGCCAAACAACATAATGACAAGCTCCCAGTTGGCTTGTTACCTCAGTTGGTTGAGCACTGCACCGTTATCACATTCTGTGCAGGCCTAACTTTTTTCAGGCTCTACTTCCTCCACTGCTCAAGTAGTGTTCATTATTGCAAAGACCGCTGTCATATTCAATTACTAATCCGTAGTTCACATATATGATTTTCATATATTCACAGCCAACGAAAGACTATGTTCAAGTTAGCCAAATATTAACTCATGTGAATTTTAAACATGATCAACATTCGATATTACTATAATATATTTGTTTAGGAAATTTCCTCTTAAAAACTAAAAATTGACCCGTCAAACCAGTGTTATTGTTATTTTCATCAAAATATGAAGCAACGGTAGTTCCAAATCAAAGTGTTCCTAAAAGTTTAAAGTTTAAAGTGCAACATAAACATTATGCAATACTTTACCTCCAACTAAGACATACACAGGGCATTTCAAATGTCCCTTGATTTCCTGCAGTGGAAAGAAAGAAACCAGTTGTTAAATAGATTAAGAATGCTTCAATTATTATTCAAACATAAATAGTTACGAAAAGGTTATTTTCAAAAAGCCTTGAGTTATTATACGATATAACACTGAGCTGCATTTCAAAGTGGTTTTTTTGTTAACACCAGGATTAGATATTTTTGAAACTAATTCCATTGAGTAAATTGAACATGTACCTTGGCTACTGTTGGGAACTGTGACGGCAAACAACAGATGAATAGTATGTGTACTGTGGAGCATACCTAAGGACAAAATATATATATCTGATGATAATGATAAGCAATTGTGAAAATGAAGCCTCAAAAGTTTAGACTTCAACAGGTTAATGCCGTGATTTTTCAAGTTACCAATTTCATCACAAGACAAGTATGTTATAAATAACAATACAAAGTTCACAGACCTTTATATTATCAAATCCACAATGGACACCTTTCATCTGAAGGGCAGATAAAGTTTCTGGCTGCCTCGTTGAGAGAAATAACTCTTCTGGATGAACATCAGCTGAAACATGTATGTTTCAGTACTAGTAGTCTATACAATAAGTTAGCTAAAATACTCTTGACAAAGATTTTCCAAGCACACAAGGTGTGCTAGTGTTCCCATGTGATGGTCACAGCACAAAGATAAGATAAAAAGAACCCTTCATTCTGCTTGACTATACATGTTAACAACTATATAGGTTTTTTTCACTAATCAATATTTGATGCCCTGCATTGCACCAGTAAATTATACACAAGCTAAATAAGATTGCTTCGAAAGCACATGAGCAGAAATGAATCAATTTATACAATATCAAGTTGTGTTAAATTTGCTTTGTATACAAATGATGTGATAGTTCCCCATTCCCTCTTTAATATAGGAGTTAAATTAAACCAGGCAACTTACAGAATTTAAGTAGTGTACTTGCAAGTTGTTTTCCTAAGCGTCCACAACCAATGATTCCTACCAAAAGTGGATCTCTCTTTGGGGCTTCTTGCAGAAGCTTGGATGACTGAAAGTGATTAAACTTAGATAGAATACTGTCAAACTATCTCTTCCAAGTACTCAATTTATGTCTGCCTCAATAATCAGAACAAGCAGCAGAATTACATGTACTTCTCCACAAACTAAGTGAACTGAAACTTAATTTCACAATAATGCCATTTGTAAATGTTTCTGCAATGCTTAACATATGAAATGTTGGCCACACTAAAACATTATAACTTAAAACAAAATACCTTTTTCTTGACTGGATATTTTATTTCCACAATTTTTTGCCTTGCATCATTTAAAACGGCTACCAGAAAGGCCCTAAAAATGACCATACAGAACTGGATAAAGTATGCAGTATGTTGTGCGAGTAAAACTCAACCATAATAAAGGGGTAAGTTTCTAAAGAAACTGTGGTGCTGCGTCGGTGGGAGAGTATAGCAGGTAATTTAGTGTTAACAACTGGGTTGAAAACGTAAATTAGCCACCGTAAAGGGTAAAAAAGCTGACGTTTCGAGCGTTAGCCCTTCGTCAGAGCGATCGCTCTGATTATCGTTTTGGAAATTGGAGTACACGACTCCTTTAATGAGCTTCATCGTTACACTAAATCATTATATTAATACAGCGGGAGTACCGGCAGCAAGTTTCCCCGATGAACAAGCTCCGCTGAAAAGCCGCTTTCATGCCAAAAAAGGTAAATTTAATTCCCAATGGCATTCATCTGATAATTTGCAAATTCATTTCTTTCATATCTAACTACACATCAAAAAATTGTTGTGAAATCACATAAATTTCAAAAGCAGAAAATTCAATCAGCACAACAGGTCGAGCAACTGATGACATGAGCTTTGATTTTTACTTACGCTTGTGCACAGGCAGACACTGTCAAGGCATGACTTCGTCCACGCAAATACAGCATCTGTCTACAACAGAGACAACCACAAATAACGTCAGTTAAGGCTCGAAGGCGTTCAAATCATACACCCTTATAGGAAACGTACTTTTCATCGAGAGTTAAAGCGGCTTCAAACTGCAGAGACGGAAGATTCGCTGTTACATCTTCTACAGCCGCCATGTTTGTTTACCAACAACACCGCTGACAAGTATCCCTAGACAACGCGACCCTTTCTATTAACCAGGGCTCCTCGGCCCTATTGAAGATGTAGAATGTCAACAAAAGCAGAAAACAGTAATTCTGTTTTCCCCATATGTGCCTAAAGTTTGATGATTGTTAGCCGGCGAACAGGCTCATGAGCATCTAGCGAGCTTCTCACGAATTTCCATCCTTATCTTGATTCGATTTGATAACATCAATCTGCATATTTGCATTGTAATCACTTGACCCCACGAGACACCTGTCCCTTATGCACTCCTAGGCGACACCTCGTTGTGTGTTTTTTCAACCAACGTATATTTCTCTTGGAAACAGACCGAAAATGATAATACTTTATGATCAATGCTTCCTCAACAACCGGAAATAATTTCAATTTGTCACAGATAAAAACATTCATAAGTCTTGCCAGCACCGCGTGTGACCGTTTATCATAACAAAACCTTCCATTGTCGCCGATGTGATGCACAAAAGATGAGCGATAACGTATTTGAAATAAGTTAATCCTGACTAAAATACAGAGGTCACAAAGCCAGCTTCCTTGTATGAATTAAATTTTGGCCATCAGTGGTATCTAGACGCGACGGAAAATTACCACCACGTTGGTGAGTTTGCACCGGAGAAAGTGATCGCAGACAATTAGTGCCTGTCATATTACTAAAAGCTGAAGCATATTAGACCATTCTATAAATGATCTCATTTACATTCTTGACTTTGGCCATCGACGGTAAAACACAAAAAAAGTGTGTTGATCCAGACATAGTATGCTCTTAACAGGTGCTTGGAATGAAGAATGGTGAAGCCTGAACCTCTTGGTTATTAACATCTGTATATTCGTTTCAACTGCGATTTTCAGTGCAGTGTTTTCACTACCAGCCGACCATGGCTTCGAATGCAATTGAAATATTTGAAGTTCAATTCGACCAACCGAATCGCGTGTTTTATCCTGGCGAGACTGTTAGCGGTCGGGTTAAATTGCACCTAAAAGAACATTTGAAGATCAAGGAATTGCGACTAGAATGCCGTGGTGAAGCTTATGTGAACTGGCCTGAATATTCAGGCAGTCACACTCGCTACCATTACAACCGAGAACGGTTCTTCAGCACGATGGCGGTGATTTTAGGCGAAGGTGAGTTTAGAAGTCGTGTTAATAAGCTTTTATTAAATGTCGTATGCAAATTCTGATCTGGGATATGATCAACCACTGATTTCTTACCGAAAATATTTTAAATTATCTGATCATGGTTAGATACAAAAGTATCTGATTCAGTGTTGGTGTGAAATACTTATGCAAATTTTAAAATCATTTCACTCATTCTGCAACTCGCTGAGAATAGATGAAACCGCCAAACACGAAAACCCTTAAACAGCATCAGCAGGACGTATATGTTTTATTTATCTTTTGAGTGGATCAATATTTCATAGATGCAAAAGTTCAATTTCCTAATTTTTTCAGTTACACATTTTTTTTTCATAACATTCACTGCAGAGTTATGAATAGGGCAATACTACAAAGTAGTAATTGAAGAATCAAACATCCACTAAAAAAAAAATGAATAAATAAACGTTGAAAGGGACCTAATTCGGTGTGAAACTATCTCATTTACTCCCAAAAAAGCGCAAACTGCCCATGAACAGTAGGAAACAGTATAGCTATTGCTTACAAGATTTCTAGGGGTATAAACGCAAGCCTGGAATAGATCATTTTTAATTATTTTACGCATGAATTGAGATCTGTGAGCACATCATGTTTTCAAGTTAAGACGCAAAACTCTGGTTTTTCCTTATCAAAGTCTGCTCATCCATGGTAGCTGAAGAGAATACTTCATTACAAAGCACAGATCCTTCGTAATTTTGAAAACAGTAGGACTATTTTGCATAAAGCATTGATTCTATAAATAACAATGTTGATGTCTGAAATTCTCGTGCAGAATCACTGTGCATGTCTAGGTGAGTTTTCCGACCTGAGTAGGCTACTTCATACAGCGGCTTAATAATGTCGTATGCGTTGAAAATCTGTTGTGCCTGGCGTTAGCTTTCATACAAGTACAAGGTGCATGTTGTTTTCAAAACAAAAAGCCAAGTATTGATTGATTCCCACTAGGCAATATTACTCGGCAGAATCTGATATATTTATTCCACGTAAAACCGAGGTTTGCTTAATCTTATGACTCGTGTAAGAAGGTTACAGCGACCAAAAAATTGAATCCGTCTATTAGAGCCTTTCCCACATCCTTTGCTTGTTAGTGAACATCTTTACCTTAGGTAGTTCGTGATTTGCATACGTGTTTCATTATGTTCTCGCGAATACAATCATTGACATTCCTTGAATGATTCTGCTTTGCAAACCGAGAGAAACGTCAAATAAAGGGAAAACCAAAATTTCTTTTCTTGAATGATTAGACTTTTATTTCGTGTATTTACGGTAAGAATTGACGTGACCATCTACCAAGGGTAAAGATTACCTATCAGCCACTCTATTCAACTCTATTCTATTCAATACATGTTGACTGAATTGTTTTTCGGTTTACTGGAGTGTGGCAGGTGACCACTTTGAATCCATATGGCTGCTTGAAGTTTTTAGCGAGAAAGCTGATGAAGAATTTGCACATTAAGAAAGTATTAGCTTTTTTTGAGCTGGTGTGTAAGAAAACGAACTATGGTCAGATCAGAAGGAACAAGCATCTTACATTGGCTCCGCATCTTAGCTAATGCTTCTTTCGAGTTTTGTAGGACTTGACATATTATGTTATAATTTTTGAGCTTGTTTTTTAAAACCTTTTCGATCGCTTCCTGGCATAGCAATTTTTGTCTTTTATAGGTTAATTCTACCCATCTTAATTTTTCTTAAACCAAACCAACAAAAGAAAGGCAAGAAAACAAAACAGAACAAAACAAACAGAGGGGACAAACAAAAAAAAAACTAGACAAATTGAACAAAATACACAATATATCCTGTTTTTTTCCCAACTCTTGGACTTGAAGTATGATCAAAACATGGCTCTTATGCACTCATCTTGTTTGGCAACGAGATATATGATCAGTTTAATCATAGGCAAATACTACGCTACGTACGTTTGTGGGCGGAGTAGTTTCAGGAAGCATTTCTAAAACGCAACGCACGCAATGTATTAGCTAATTATGAATGACAGTACCGTCATAGCAACTGCAATCTTACCTTATTCGAGAGAGTGGAGCAGAACCATTTCTCCACATCTTTACCATCAGTTGACCGACTGGCGGTCATACATCGCCTGACACACCGATTATGATATTACTTGGGCTAGATGTAATGCACATAGATAGTGGCTTGTATAAAAATGCATAATCGTGAATTCTTGTTTGTATAGTAAAGCGCCTACTAAAGCCGCCTGTCATGGCTCAATTTATAGGAAAGAATAAGAAAAATGGTATGAACTCTCCTACTTTCATTTCGGAAGGAAGTTACCGGTTCTTGTTCAAGTTTATCATTCCCGACAAGTATCTTCCTACGTCTTTTGAGGGTCGCCACGGCAACATACGATACTGGGCGCGAGCAGTCATTGAAAGAGGTCTGGGTAAGAAAAACATCAAGACGAAGCCAGCACAGTTTCTGATTGGTGATTACGTGGCGCTTGAGGACTTTGAAGATGTATCGGTGAGTAGGAGTTGATGTTGAAAATTAATGTAATATAAAAGGCCAGTGGATAGTAAAATCATTTCGGGTCCTTCACCCGGCAAATTAAAAAAATTCTATCCATACGTCGGATTGTAATTTAAACCCATTTTCACCATATACAAATTTTAAACATTCTTCCTAAAGTGAGCGAGAAAAGCTATGAATTTATGTTGCATGATTGGGATTATCCTTAGCCCTTCTTAAGTTAACAGTCATTTCCTTTATTTTATTTTCATGACTTTTGTGTTTAATTCAGCAGTTATACTAAAAGGAGATAAGATACCGGTCACTCGTACGAGTTAAAGGGTTTATTACATCCATTTTGAAATGGCCTGTGATGCTTTCAATGTGATTGGCTCCCAACGGTGCGACTTATTCACAAATCGTACCATTTTACGCTTTGAATCGCGTCTTTTCCCCAGCCAAGGAGATAGCTTTACTAAGAAAGTCCAATTAAATTAGGGCTTGTCTAAAGAAATCAATCAGTTTGTAGAAATATGAGAGAAACCTTTTGAAATTTTTCGCAAGCCAGCTCAATAAACTAAATCAGTAAGATATTTGCATAGACTGAAAAAATTGTATTGAGTGATTGAATTTTGCGATTTCAAAATAGATGTAATAAAGTGGTAATTGAACTTCGTGTCGTGCAATTTTGGTTATACGTGCAATTTCAAATCAAACCCGCGTTGGGCGCTCTTTTGATTATGAAATCACACGAATGATTTCAGACCGAATTGCACTCCACCTAATTCAATTCCCATTATTAATATTCTATATGAGAATATTCCTGTTTAGCAAGAATGTATATTTGAATGGACCGCATCAAAATGTGGTAGGAAACCGGTGACATTTTCGCCTACGTCCTGATTTTCTTTTCATTTTTCCTACATTTCGATGTAGGCTGTTGTTAGATTTTCCAACGATTTCCTTTGATCTTAGGAGCTTAGGAGTAACAATAACAATAATGCAATTAATTTATCCTCTAACTAAACTACAGCTATAATGATTGTCTAAGTACTTTAGAATAGTGGAAAGGAAGGTTAACGGACGGCCCGAACTAAAATTAATTAGTTAGAAAATACTCGTAGTTTTTAAGTTAAAAGCAGAATGAAGCTTAAAAAATTGCTAGGCAAGAAGAGTATAGCAATCCATTTGATGAATGATTTTGTTTCTACTTCACGACAGGACCCTGTGATCGAGGAAGACTCACGAACTTTAGGATGGTCTTGTATGGCTTCCGGGACGTTGGTAATTAGAGCAGAGATCGACCGAGGTGGTTTTAAACAAGGAGATGATATTAACATCTCTGTCCTGGTTGCAAATGAGACATCTCGTAATGTAGCTTACACTGAAATGTCTCTCATTCAACGAGTACTGTTTGTGGGTGTCGAAGGTAAAACTGAACTTTAAAGTTAAGGGTAGGGGGCTTAGGGTGTGTTAGGCGTGCGGAATTAATTGAAGAAAAGCAGAACTGCATTTCGCTCCAAAAGATCCAGATAAGAGAGCAGATCCGATATTTCTTGGGCATGTTGTACCCATGCTGCAAAAGCTAACTCACTTTTAAAAGGGGTGATGCAGATGCAGGTATCTAAGAAATTGTAAGGGTAACCCAGCAAAACCCCTCAAGACAAAGCGTTAAAGGAAAAAACATGCTGGACAAAGGACTTTCACACTTCAGTTCTTATTTGTCGAAATGACTGCCAAGAGGAAAGGTGAAACGTCATTCATTACGGCCGGCCTCACAGGCAGTGAGATCAAGGCGATTATCACCTTACCTTAATGAGTTTTATTTACACTGCAGAAAGCTTTGGTGGCCTCTGAATTGAACAAATATTTGAATCGAAAGTGTAATAAGGCACAACACCTGGCAATGAAACCCCGGGAGATCTGTTGCTAACTTTTGCTTGTTTTCCTAGCCGTTTTCCATTTTTCTTCTCTTATTTCTTTCCTTTTTGTTTCCTTTTTGTTTCCTTTTTCAGGTGGTAAAACATTCAGTGACCAAACAGTATGTTACGTAAGAAAACAAGGAGTTCTTAGCGGGTGGGAACAAGATTTTCCCAACATATCACTTGCAATTCCACCAAAGACCTACCCCACTCTGATATCGTGCAAATGCGTAGCAGTCCTTTATTTCATTTTGGTAAGTAATTTATTTCCTTTCGTTAAAGTCAAGGTAAAGTTAGCCCACGAGCCAGAGGACCCATTCATTTTGGGGGATTTTACCTCGAATTCCTTGAAAGCAGGAAGACACTCAAAATAATGCTACTTCCTCCCGACATGATGCTCGCCCATCGTAGGGTCACCTAATGACATTTTGTCAAATTGCTCTGAGAATTTTCAGGTTGCGACTAGAAAATTTAGTTGGCACAATTAAAGTAAGGTGTCATTCCTAAGAAAAAGACGCAATTTTCTGAGAAAAGACTCGAACTCAGATCTCCGGACTCAAATTTTGGAGCACTTGGTGTTATATCTTGATGTCAATTGTAACTGAGGTATTTGCAGCTCATAGCATATTTCCCATTTTAAATGAGAAATCATGCAGTGAGGTAAATGTATATATTGACAAAGATACAGTAACATTTTTGACAAATAATTTTTTTTTGTAGATCAAAGCGAAAGTTAAAGGAAAGCTGTCAAAAGACGGCTACCTTGAAATACCCGTTGTTATTGCGTGTTCAGATGACCAGTCAGAAATGCTGGCTCAGCTGAGCACACAGGCGAACATGACGTCCCAGAAACCAAAACGACGAAAAGGAACCTTCTTCTGTATCACAGGAAATACCTCTCTGATGGGGGGACTTAATAGTTCAAAGTCAGAGTACTTCAAAGAGGACGAAAATGATCAATACGTTTTCAGTCCAACGTTCAGGTCTGTGGGAAGCTATGAAGGCACCTTTACAGATATTGCAAATGTCTGCAATTCTAGAAACGGGAAAATTCCAAGAGGGAAAGTTTCGATTGGCCACTATACTGAGAATTCAAATGTAGCTCGTAACGGTCGAGTTAAACTGGTGAGTGTAGTTTGAATGATTAAGAGAAATATTACTGATAAAAACCATAATCAGATCTGAAGGTTATTTTGAAACAAAAAAAATTTCGTAAAACGGTACCCTTCTGGAAATGTAGAAAGTATAACTGAGGAATGGAAATATATGAATTGGCAACTGGTAAGTCCAAACATTGGAATGAGAAATACAATCCAAAGATCAGCCAAAGCTAAAGGAATTTTTCAAGGTGTTTGTGTAAACCTAAAGTATCGGAAACATGAGTGACAAAATCATTATTGACTTATATCTCTATCCAACTGAATTAGAAGGCAGAACAATCTTTCAGATCCTTGATAGGGCAGGGTTTAGAAACAATTAAATAGATGAAAAAGATAAAGATAGTGATCAAAAGATTTCAGATTACCTGGTAGATAATTTATATACATTTGCTACCCTGTGAAATGCCACGTTGGAGGTGGGTGCCATGCTGTAGAATGAAATTTAAGCGGGATCGCGGCATATTTTTGTCTTTGAAATTTGGTATTTTGGGTTTATTAATTAGAAAATGAATTTGATATGAAAAAGAGTTCAGATTTTTTGGTTGATATAATTGTGGTTAATATGATATTTCATATATTTAAAAAAGGGAGATAATTTTTATTTTGCTGATCAGCAATTTGTTTATAATGACGTACATTTATCTATAGACCATTTCAAAGAATGTGCTCAATGAAAGACAACAATCTTTTAATGTTCTCAACACACTGCTGATTGTAAAACATTCATGAACTTATTTACAAAATTTGTCATACATCGGGTAATTCAAGAACGTAACATTCAGTACATATTGTAAATAAACAATTGTTGAAGCGGGTTTTAATATCAATAATGCATGGCGGTTTTCAACGATACATTTAATTACTTTTAGTGATAGTAATTAAATTCTAATAAGATAACGAAACACAATTTAAATTGTATTAATTGTACTGAAAGTTTGAAAATGGAAATATAATAAAACTCTGTTTTTTTCTTAACTCTTTTGTTCACTGAGTTTCTGAGCCAGAAATTCGCTCCTCTCTTAAGTGCTTCATAGGGCATATAAAACAGGTGAAACTAAACGAAAAGACCACGATGATGCCCAACCGACTGTGCGTGATACTTTCCTGTTTCTTATTCATTATCATTATTTTCGTTATTAGCATTATCATTTTTATTATTACTATTATTACTATCGTTATTTCATGATGATCGTTATTATGTTCACTATTATCTTTATTGTAAGTATAATAATCATTATTCTTGTTTTGCTTGTTTGTTTATTTGTTTTTAATTTGATTTCTGTCATTTTCATCCACACCCTAATCACGACCCCAGAGAAACAACATGCCTGGTAACATTTAGAAAACAACTGGAAAAGCATGCTAAATTGTCAGAAATATGATATCCATCTGAAAATAATTTTAAATTTTTCCTAAACTGTCTCCCGCTGTTCTTTGGATGATGACTATCTTATACGAATACAGCATTGCATTCGAAACTCTAAATTAAAATCGCAAAGCGGCAACAAGTAAAAGTGCACTCAAAACTCTCAATTTGGCCTTTTAGCCCGAAACTTGTCAAAATATGACAATTTACCTTTACTATCGTGATAGTTCTATTATTAATTTTTCTTTAAGAGACGAGAATGTCGAGGCACATCTTATAAATCTCGAGATCAATTCATTTTGCTAGATTAAGTCATAAATTCATGAATCATGAATTAAACTGTGATAAGAGACATATCAATATGATGCTCATTATAATAAGGAAAAGCAACAAAAAAGAGAGAGATTTACATTCGCAGATTATTTTTAAAAAATCAACTTAAAAGTCAAAGCGTAGAAGCGCAAACACCTTATGAATCTCCTCAAGCGTATCTGAAAGACATTGGAGGTGAGTAGCATGAAAAAAGATAATTACAATTTTAAATTTACGAAAGAAACACATCGAAAAATATTCAGGGAGTTTTACAACAGAGTAGCTTATGAACATTCGCGACTTCCTGCTTATGGCTAGCCTTTAAGAAAATGATCATTAGATTTTCTTGCGGCAAAATGAAAATCTTATCTCGATTTCTTTTCATAAAATCCGGAAATAAATCCAATGGAGAAGAAGACAAGTGACTTCCCTTTCTCAGCCACTAAATATTATCTTCACATAACGCCTAAACGGCTGGCAAAAAGAAAATGATTAATTTGCCCCGTGGGCAGCCGTATAAACAGCCTTCTCGATATAACAACAAATTCAGCGGTTGTAAATTTTATGGTTTGAATAGGTCATCACACAGCCATCTCCTAGAGTACTTTTAAAACGAGGAAAACCACATCTAAATTAACTCAGTCAGATTCGAAGGATGTATTTTTAAAATACCAATTGTATTTCTTAAACACATTTCCTTCGCCTTCTGAAACACTTCGATCAAAAATTAGAATTTCTGTTTTTGTTAAGCCTTTGATAGGCAAAATAAAATCATGTCAAAACGCCAAGTGGGACGAATAGAAATTCACTTCTTTCTTTTTTTGTTTATTTCGATTTTGTTAATATTTCCCATTAACTCTCTCTTAACTAAAGATATCTTTGAAATGTTTGATCTATCCTTGATGATCTGGGTTTGATACCATTTTGAATTGACTGAATCGACCATCTGCCAACGCAAAAACCATTATTCTGAGTAACTCATTTTATATTTAAAACGCATTCATCTCTCGACGTAGTTCGAATCTCTTTCTCCACCCTTTTGGAAAACAAAACAAGTTATCGAAAGTAAGTCCGAACAAATACAAATGAGTCGAAACCAATGAGCATTACCTTTCGATTTTTTTCACACTCATCTAATACTTCTTCATTTGCACGCATCTTATAATAATCCATGCTGTTAAACCAGAAAGTAAAATCCATCTCATTTAAGACACTCCCCTGGGGAGAGATATACAGACAAAGTCGACGAGCTCTCAGATTTAGTTTAGAAAATTATAATTTCCTATAATCGTCATTAATATGGAACAAACCATTTTCGAAAGCTCGATGGATGTTTCATCATTAAAATCCAAACGGTGAATATATATATAGCAAACGAGCAAATAAGACTTGTTCGATTGCATCAAACGACTGAAGGGTTACGAATCAGCTTCAAGTTGATATCACATATGGTATTCCCTGCATCATGTAATAGATCATGCAAGATCATGCGACATTGTGCATAAAATCGGACCCTAGTGTCTAAAATCTGACACTAAATTAGTGTCCAAAATCAAAAAACAGTATACAAAATCGGCTACTAGGGTCTAAAATTGTACACTTGTGGTTAAAATAGAGCGTAATGTCTAAAATCGGACACAAGTTACTAAAATCTAACGTCCAAAAACGTAAATTAAAAAACTTGTGTCCAAAATCCTAAATTAGGGCACTTCCAAAATCGGAGTTAGGACACAAGTATATTTAATCGGATACTGGTTTCTAAAATAGGACAATAGTGCCTAAAAAACAGACACCAATGTCTTAAGTCAGACACTACCGCCTAAAATCGGACACAAGGATTAAACATAGGACATAAGTGTCTAATGTTTAAAATCAAACATTGGTGTTCAAAATCAGACTTAAGTGGCTAAAATCGGACACTAGTTTCTAAAATCAGACAAAGGTGTCTAAAATTGGACACTAGGTTTTACAATCGTACTTTGGTGTCAAAATCTGTTATAAGCCAGACATCAGTGTCTAAAACGGCACACCAATGTCTAAAATCGGACAATAGTGCCCAAAAACATACTTTAGTCTCTAAAACTAGGTACTAGTGTCAAAAACTTGGGTTTTAGTACCTAAACTTGGACAATAGTGTCTAAAATCGGATTCTAGTGTCCAAAAACCGACATTAATGTCTAAAATCGGGCATTGGCGTCTAAAATTAGACACTAGTGTTCAAGTGTCGGATGGTTCTATCTGAAACAGCTCTCTAATGTCCAAAGTCAGACTGTTTTGTCCAAACTCAGACACTGGCAGATAAAATCGGACATTAGTGTCTATTAGCGGACACAAGTTTCAATAATCAGATTCTTTTGTCTAAATTGGAAACTAGTGTCTAAAACCAGACACCAGTACCTGAAACAGGCACTACTGTCCAAAATCGGATGACAGTGTCTTAAATCGAATACTAGTGCCAAGGATGGGACAAGTGCCCAAAATCAGACTCAAGGGTCTAAAATTGGACACTAGAGTCTAGAACCAGACACCAGTGTCTAGATACAGAGATTAGTGTCTACTATCGGAGACTAGTGTCTTAAATCGGCCGCAAGTGTCTAAAATCGAACACTAGTGTCTGAAGCCAATGAAATGAATTTTGCAATGTTATAAGTATAGGGCATCAAATCCCTTAACCGAAGCCCTCTCATATAGCCTTAAAAATCTGAGCCTTCCCTTTAATTGTTTTCTTAATTTTCAGCCCAAGACAGCAGTTTTCCCTTAAAGATTTTGCATCGTTTTTCTTATTCTTGCTTGAACAGAAAACGGAAAAAAAAGAAAAAAAAGACGATGATTAAATTTGGGAATGTCACAAAATCACTTGTATACTAACTTAGAATTTTTCTCAGAGACTCTTTCAGATATATTGCCCATAACATAGTCAGAAAAACAAAAAGGATGAAATTAAGAAAAAAAATCGTAAAGCCGAATAAAAGAGAGTAATAAACTCGTCGCCATGGGGTTTTCGCCGTCCACTAGAGAAAGGATCTACTGAAAGCTAACAAATATTATTCAGAAAGCTGTTTGATCTAATTGAATTACCCTAAAGGCGGACGGGGGTCATATTTACTTAACTCCTGTTTTTAATTAGGAAGTGCCGTCAATTTTACCAAAATGTGAAATGTGGGGCAAATTCGAGGAATTAATTTGTGCGTTAACGTTGTGATATGGTTAAACTAGAATTCATGATATTAAATCTCAGGTAGTGTCTTTCGGTTTACATGAGATAGGAACTGGATACGTTGTTATTTTCATATTAAAAACAAGATTTTTCCCCCATACCTTTGTTACTGAGAAAGTCGAAATAATAATAAATTATTCAGCCTTGTGGAAGGAAACGAGAAATTTGAAACAAAAAGCGGCTTTAAGCGGGAGAAGTAATCTAACTCACCGCGACTCATGTGGATTCTGTGTACATAGATGTTTTGACATTTCAAAGAGATTGTTAATTGCCTTAGCTCCATTCGCCAATTTTAATTCGCCAAAGTCAACAATATGGAGTAACGTTCACTGGCACAGTCAGTCACTGTTTTTTATATAAATAATAAATGACTGTAAGCGCAAAGTACAAAAGTTGGGGTGGCACGACTTCTAAGGCAGCTACAGCGAAGAAAAATACTACAACCCTTCAGTTTCTCTTTCAAGACATGCGTAAGTATAATTACTTATATTTATTCAGCAGATTTTAGAGCAGTAGATTTTAAGTCTCAAAGTTAAAGCATATTTTTTTGGAAAGTACAACGAATTATTGGTATTTCGGGTAAAGAAAATTAAGTTCTATTCCGAGAAGTAATGTTCCCAAGCGGAATATCACACGAGACTAAAATTCTAGCAAAAAGTTTAAGCAATATTCTCCATGAGATAAGGCTTCTAAATTGAGATTTTACGGCTTTGAATGGTAATGCTTTGGCTACATATTTGCTACAACGACTTATCAAAACTGAAACACCTTGACGGGAAATCAGCTTCGTTAATTTCTCTAAAATTAGGTAATAAATGTGATTTCTCTCAGCCATCTTCAAGAAAAAAATGTAAATTTAATTAAATCTTCGTTGTTTAGTTCATTTATGCATTTCCATTGTTAAAAGTTTAAAGATAAACCGGAGAAAATGATAAGCGAACTAACGCGAACTGTGTTAACGAACCTGAGCCAATCTTGTTAGCCAGGAAATGGTGGATAACAAAGCTAACTTAACATCAAAGACCACTGCAGATCTACATGAAATATCAT